AGAAAAATAAGGGAAGCGACCAGTAAGTCCAAAAAAATTAAACACATAGGCGAGGGTGCATGACTCGGCATAGATAGGTCTCTTCTCAATCTCAATCTGTCCAATCTTGAGCGTTCATTTGTAAAAAAATTTTGTCTGTGCCATTCAGAAATATGCTCCCCCCAGTCCATAGTTGTTCCTACTAATCCAGCCAATGGTGCGAAATATTCCTTATGGTTACCAGCTGTAAACTCTGTGTTAAAATTGAGGTATCACCATTCCATCCCAAGCTGACAGTAACAATGCTGTGAAGTACCACTGCGAACAGAAATCAAATAAAAGCTTCATCGGTTCGGCAGGTCCACAGATGTTTGAACTGTCGACATTTCTGAAAATCACCAGTACACTTTCCTGAGACAATATGGACTTAGAACACATTTTTTAGTGCACTAATTATAGAATCTGAATTTACGGAGTAAATTTTCCTGCTTCGAGCGCAAAATGACGGTGTCTTGGTTCTTAACCTGATTTCTTCGATGCTGCACAATCACTCAGTGTTGTAGACACCAAAAACAAAAAACATGTATTCAGGGTCACTGCACCCTTCTTCCTTTTAGAAGGCACACTTTACTGAAGCGAACGACGCTTAAAGTGTAAGATGGACTGTACATACACAAAGAAAAATAACGAAAGAATCCAGTTAATCCCTTTAACAGTGTGCTCAGGGCTTCGTATCGACAAGTCTCGTCTTGAATAATTTTGAAACTCCGCTGATACACAAAAACGAACTGTTGTAAATACGCTAAATTTCGTAAGAGAGCTTACAATAACCGGATAAATGTGTTGTCTTCACAGCTACAACGCCTAGCTGCTTCAGCTCCTTTCACAACCTGCATTCTCTCACCCATCGCGCCAACAGTCATGTGCTACTTCTCTTCGGCGGCCTCTGTTTCTTCGTCCTCTTCGAAAAGAGCTTTGAATCTCCTTGAATATTCTTCGAACTGCTCAGCTAAAATAAACATTAAAATCAAAACTGCCCACTGCACCAAAACAGGCGGCCGGCACGCGTACAACTACCGATGCGTGATTCATGTCGCACGCCATCTCTTGTATGCCCTTATTCCGTGCTTCTTCACTGAGTACACGCACCACGTCTTTCAAGCATTCGTTCAATGCAGCATTCATGATGCTTCTTTCGCTGCACCATTCATGAAAATAACGACGTTTACCGGTTACCAGCGTGGCGAACCGTAGCGTAAATACTCAATGAAAGTCACTAGCGTCACGTCCTTGGGTGTAGTAAAGAGACATGTCCTTTTCAACTTTTAAGTTGCACTCTTTCACTGCGCTCCCATACCGTGTTGGACACAAGAGGTACGCCCCGTTATTGTCGTTTAGACCATCGTATTTCCAGCTTCTAGCATCCCTCAAACCTATTTTGGCATAAAACAGCAACCATCCAACCAGCCCGCCCTGCCCTTCAGATATCCTTGGTTATTTCTGCTTTCGATGTCAGCTGTCTTGGCAGCTCAACTAACACCTGACATCTACGGCTGATGGTAGGGGAAAGCAAGAAAACCGCTAACTGATGAAATGTAGTAGCAAGAGTGGAGAGGATTTGATACATCTAACTCTTCCAGTTTCAATGAACGAAAGAAAACAAAAGCTAGCATTTCAAGCGAACTGCCTGAAAATGACACATTTTTGACTACACTAACTACGAAACACTAGCAGCTAAGTTGCTGGCGCGGAAGCGCACTACGATGAAGGGTCAGCTTATTAAGTACTGAGACAAATAAAAACCCAGGATGGAACGCACCGGGCGGGCCCGTC